ATTAATGTGAATTAGGATTTATAATCAAAAGTAATTAAGGTTTGTTAAATAAACATATTTAAGGCTAAGTAATCAGTTTTTAGGCAAAATTGGGGAGAGCATATCTCCCTCCACAGAGGTCATATAGGGCTGTTCCTTATATCAAATTGAAGTTTGAGATGTTGGCTATGTGGTGTCAAACTTTGCTATCAATTGAATATGTATTCCGTTCTGTATGTTTGTATGAGTGAGGACTGCACATGGAGGCCATGTGCAGGGGCTGTACATGGCTGCAACTTACACGAATTGTTTCTCCCTCTGTGATTACTCAAATTAGGCTCATAATATGTCTAATTAAATATAAAGGTGTCTAGTTTTCTACATGAACATTTGAGAGCAATTGGTTTATTATATTTTCCAGAATCTAAGAAATGGTAAAGGATGTTTAGGGCCTTGTTCGGAGTTGGCAAACAGTTTTGCTTGTCCGACTTCAAATGGTGATAACCGGAGCTAGAAAACTCCAAATGAGGCACGTGATACCTTTTTGGAAAGGTAATTGAGTCTAGATTAACATAATAAAATATTATATTTTTATAACAAGTGAGTCGCGCTCAGTAACTAGAAAACAGAAGCATGTACAGTTATGGGAAAACCGTAAAAGTGATATTTAAGCTAAGTGGGCTTATGGGAACCCTTAGTAACCTGTAATAATCATAAATATGGCTTGGATGAGTTGAAAATAATGTAATTTACCTAAGTGAGCCTTGCATGTGATTCTAAGCTATGTAAGTAACTGAAGATTAAAGTGGCTTGTAATAATGCACTAAAATATGTTATATGTAATAATTGGTCTAGACTTGTAATGAGCATATTATTGGCATATGAGTATGAAAAGTGGAATCATTAAATGATTAAGTCATGGATATAACTTGATTAAATAATATGTAATTAATGATGTGAATGGTTCCTACTCTAGGTGTGCCTAGAGAACCGTGCACTTGAGGACTTTGTTGGAGCATACATATTATATTGGAGTGTGGGCTGGTGCTAAGCTCTCTAAGGTAAGCTCCTAGTTCTAGTTGACTCCTCTCTCTTGTGGCCCCACCAAGATGGTGGGCATTATGGTTGTATTGTACGAAAGTAAATTGTATGACGTATATGTGCTTTCATTCACATTCGTATAGATGTTATATGATCTTGATGTTATGATGATGCACTGATGATATATGTTATGATGATCCTGGCTAGTGATCATTGAATGTAGACTGCCTATGACTTGACTCTGGGAGCTATTTCATACTGAGGTTGTGTTGACTGTCTATGGCTTGACCCTGGAAGTAGGGGTGTAAATGGGTCAGGCTGGCCTGGCCTAGCCTACAACCCAACCTACGTTAAGCCTGGCCTAGCCTGGCCTACACTAAAAAGTTAAGTGGGCTTAGGCTAATAAGAAACCCTTTTTAACAAGTAGGCCATTGGCTAATTTTATCAAGCCTGGCCTAAAGCCTTGTAGGCTGGCCTATTTAACTTTTTAAAATAAAATAAAATAATATATTTATTTTAGGTGGCAATCAGTACCAACCCTAAATTATTTTGTGCAATGCCGCTTCTCCCTTCTCTGAACTTCGTCATTTTTAATGCTCACTAGTGAAATTTATATCTCGTGTAAAAAAATGCAGCAATTTATGAACACGTTAATGACTTGTAATGTCAAGCAAATATTTTTAAAATTGTTAAAAATATTTTTAATTTTTTTTAAAATATTTAAAAATATATCACTGGGGAGGCCTACAAGACCTGTAGGCCATATAAGGCTCTCTAATTTTTAAAAATAGGACAGGCTTGGCCTATAAATAAAGCCTTTAGTATGCCAATAGGCCAGATAGGCTGAATGTTTTTTTACGTAGGCTTAGGCCATGAAGGCCAAAGCCCGGCTCAGCCTGGCCCATTTACACCCCTACCTAGAAGTCACACATGTGTAATGTGTAACCGTCTATGGCTTTAACCCTGGGGTTACACAAGGATGATATGATGATGCTATGTTTATGTTGTATGTCTATATTATATGCTTTATATCTGACTTGTCATGCAGAAAGTGGGCTCAGGGGTTAGAGGATCCTCTATGAACCTTGAGCTTACTGAGATGTTGTTATCTCACCCCGTTTGGGGACATCATTTCAGGTACCCAGAGTAGTGGTGATGCTTCTAGGGGAAAGGCCCTCGCATTGGAGTAGTTGATGATGTAGCTGATGATTTTATATTATGTTTAGATTTGATGTTGACATGTAGACTTGTTAACATGCTTAATTATTTTATGGAGATTATTGTATGTATTTATTTAGGCTCATGATTGTATTCTTAGAGCCATAGATTATTTACTGATGCTTTTATACTGTGAATTAATATAGACTTGATGCATGTATTCAGTTAATTTGGGCATGGAGCCTTATTATTTGTATTGACCCATTGAGGGGATTGCAATCTGTGTAGGATTTGCAAGCTACCTGTTTAAATTATTGTATCAATTAGGTGATATGTATGTGTGGGACCATGTTCCCAATTATCCGAAATACAGCATTATGCTGTCCGTGAGACTCCGTCAGGAATGACACTTGATGTCATATCTTGATGGTCAATGGCCACTAATATTGGCTCATAGGAGTAATTAGTATATGTATGTTTAGATTTACGCTTTCGCAGTATCTCACGTGAACGTTTTTAGAAATGTTTTTATAAAAAAGTTTTGGAAAAAGTTTACTCGTATTTTTGTAAAACGTGTTAGTATTCTTTTAAAATAAAGCCTTCCACTGTGAATGTTAAATATCATGTATGTTAACAACCAGAGTACTACGGGGTTTTACAACCACCAATACACCCGAGATTTTCCTAGAGTGCTACTCAACGGATAACAACTCCATGACCCCAAGTCAACTAGAACTCCCTCATGGAGACCTATCCAATAAAAGTCCATAACGCCCGAAGGTAACTATCTACTGGCCAGAGATACGGTACATCCTATGTACCCATTATATATACTTATGCATGAGCATGTTATAATTACACTATTAACATACAACCTCTAACCACTACCCCAAGGGGCATGGTGGAGCACACACAGGGATTAACCCCAGTACTAAGGGATTACCTTATTAAAGCTCCCCCTCTAAGTAGCTCCAATGCAAAATACAACTGAGCTTGGTCCAACCAGAAATTGCTACACACAGGTCATTCCCATAACAATTAGAACCACATAAAACCATACACTTGGTTATTCAAGCATTCATGTAATTTGACATAAACACTTACCACAATCCTTTTGGTCTAGGACCAAAGGCAATCCACCAAGCTCACCTTTCAAAGCTCACGTCCGTGGGCGGCAACCTACAATGACCACACAAGAATCATCAATCCAATGGTGCAACCAAGTCAAAATACAAAGCACCACACCCCCACATACACACTTATAGGTTCGGCCACAATGGCAAAAAATACATAGTCATGTTAATTTTATTACAACATACCAATGATTTTCCAAGCTCCTAACAACATCATTTTAAGTCCCCAACTTCATTAAGTTACCACTCACCTCAAGTTTCCCAATTTTCCTCTTTTAGGCCAATTTCAACACTTAGGCATATCCAATGATTCCACTTCCAATCCACATGCATCACAACAACACATAACCTATTTAAACTTGGCTCACAACCACACAACACCAATTGCATGAATTTTACAACATCCATCCTTATTTCTTTCCATTTGGCCGAAATCTACATGCATGTATACCAAAGGATTTTTAATTCAATTCAACACTTTCACGCAGCATACAATCCTATAATTAACTCATACAACTACTCCACAACTCAATTATACAATTCCAACACAATTCCAATTCACAAAGTCTTGCATTTCCATAATAAAATTTGCCTAAGTTACCATAATTTTCACCAATAATTTTTATGAACGCAATCATCATAAAACATCATTCTAAGACACTTTTATCTAATACATATTTTTAATTTGAGGTCCCCAACCACATCAATCCATACTAGCATGCTCTAGGTTCATGAAAATCAATCCAACAATTTATCCAATGAAATATGTTGAAACTTACCAAGGATTAGGGCCTATGACTCCTCCACACAATACCCAAGCAATGGTTGATCAATTAACACCAAGAACACCAATTTTTCCACACAAATTCGTGGCAATGGGTCCCAAATTTCTCTCAAACTAGAGGGTTTCAAGGCTTGAAAATAGTATGGTTGGGTTTGGATGGTTGTTTACTTAAAGTTTCATGTGGTGGAAGTTGGATTTTGGTGGTTAAATCACCAAGAACAAGGCAAGCCAAATTTCTTTCCTTCCTATGTCTATGGCCGCGGGTTTGGAGCTGTGTGGGGAGAGAGAAGAGAGTGAATAGTGCCTTGGGCATATGTGGCTTAAGTCCACTTAAGTGGGTGGGTCCCACCGCCACCTCACGCGATTCAAATTAATTCAAATCTTCCGCTTAATCCACTAAACGTCCATTAATTTCTAGACTAGTTAGAAACTTCAATTTTTAACATTCACCAATGTCCTTTAATTACCTTTCACCAGATGAATCCGAAGTTTTTCGATCGATTGGTGAAATCACAGTTTTAAGTTGTTATGTGCACCGTGGGCACGCTTTCCCAAAAACCCTAATTTCAATCAATTTTCATCAGGAATCATAATTCTTAATATTATGTACCATTTATAACTTATTCCCAAGCCTAGAGCTTAAAATTCATTCAGCAGCTTTTCGGAGCAACTGTACCGCTGTATTCTTACCCGAAAAAATATTATTCATTAAATTTCCAGAAACTTGCCTAACCACTCAATTTTTCATTATGGATCCATTTCCAGGGTTAGTTTTTTCATTTGAGACCTTCTACTCACATTTCATTTCCTAGGGTTACGTGTTTGGCAATTTACCGTTTTACCCTTTTTACATATTTTTGTTCTGAATTAAGGATTTTCACTAATCCTACCCTTTAACCCCATATTTAACCATAATTATGTGTTTTAGAATTACGAGGTGTTATACCTTTCATACCACATCTATGGCAGATATTATCTTTACCCCTTGAAGAGTTACTTTGAGGACCCTTGTTCTCTTGTTTATTTCCATAGTGGTGTTGATAAATATTTGGCCCATTTCCTCGTCCACGTCCACAACCTCTTCCATGGCCACGACTGCGACTATAATTTTGTCTTATTTCAAAATTATTATGATTTGCTACATTCACTTTAGGGAATGGAGCAGATCCAGTGGGACGAGCTTCATGATTTTTCATTAATAACTCATTATTTTGTTCAGCCACAATAAGACATGATATCAATTCGGAATATTTCTTAAACCCCTTTTCACGATACTGTTGTTGCAATAACACATTTGGAGCGTGAAAAGTGGAAAATGTTTTTTCCAGTAAGTCCTCATTAGTAATATTTTCTCCACATACCTTTAACTGAGAACTAATTTTAAAAATTGCAGAATTGTACTCGCTTACAGATTTGAAATCTTGCAATCTCAAATGCATCCAATCATAGCGAGCTTTAGGCAAAATGATCGTCTTTTGTTGGTCGTATCTTTCTTTTAAATTATTCCATAATTCAAGTGGATCTTTCACAGTCAAATATTCAGCCTTTAATCCTTCATGGAGATGATGACAAAGGAAAATCATGGCTTTTGCCTTATCTTGATTGAATGCTTCCTTTTCTTTCATAATTGTATCCCCCAAGACCTTTAGCATCAAGGTGGATTTCAGCATCAAGGAATCATGCCAAATATTTTTTGCCTATTATATCAAGTGCAGCAAATTCTAGTTTTGCAAGATTTGATGTTGTCTAATATAAAAGGAAAAGAAGGGTTAAAATAAATTCTATTTTGTACACAAGGTGTATAACATGTATAAATAAGACAATATTTGGTACAATAATGTTTGAAATATTCTAATAAAGTAACCTTATATCATAAATTTGAAGTAACAATTTCATTAATGCTGAAATAAAATGGTAACTTTAAATTATGAATGTAATAATATTCCGTATGAATGAATGCTGAAATGGTTTCAAATTCAAATCACTTTATAACATTTTTTTAAACATTAGTTTTAAATCATTTTAATTGCCATTAATTCCTTACATATTAAAATCACAATCATAATGAAGATCACAATTATAAACATTAACATATTTATAGAAAATGTACTAATAGGTTTATAGAGATTATATGTACAAACAGATAACAATTAAAAGAAAAATATTGTAAAGTTGAGACGACACATACCGTACAATGCAACACAATCGGTTGAATCATATCACAATTTTTTTTATGATCCAATTTGTTGAATAATTTTGTAAAGTCGAGAAAAAATAATAATAATATAAACACATCGTAAAGTGATTGCTTTATCAACACTAATAACCACTAACAAAAAAAAATAGTTATACTAATAACCACAAGATCGTAAAGCAGAATCTTATGTATATGTATAGTGATTGCTTTTTGAGAAATCAAATTAAATAAAGCATAATAATGAAAGATGCAACATAAAAAAAGAGAGTAAATACTAATTTGGGTCCCTAACAAAAAAAACAGTTCCCACTTTAGTCCCTTACAAAAAAAATAGTCTCGAGATCCCTAAAAAAGACAAACTGATCCCACGTTAGTCCTTCCGACAATCAGACTCCCACGACGTTAGTAACGTCGCTGAGGTGTCATGTTAACTCTGAGTCACATGTCACGTAGGATACGTTGTGGGTCCCTTTTGAGTCCTCAACAAAAAAAAGATGACCATTATGATACTCCAAGTGTCTATGTTAAAATATATGCTTTATTAAAATCATCGCTCTTCAACACTGTTCATTGTCTTCCCAGCTTCTTCTCTCTCTTCCAGCTTCTTCTCTTTTTCTTCTTCCTCCTTGGATCCAATGAAGAGCCTCTCTTTTTCTCCTTCGATCTCCCCAGAGCCAACGCCGTCCATCATCAGCTAATGAGGTTCACCAAACTGAGAAATACAATGGAAGACACCCTATAAACAAAAAAGTTGCAAGGTTCACCGAACTGTCTCCTGAACTCTTGGAAACTTTAATTAGGCATCTCTAATGAGGTTTATCCCCCAACTTATGCAACAAATAAAAGAAAAGGAAGAGAAAAAGCCTGCATATTACTATTCTCCAACGTTAACAACCAAAAAATATCACTAAGTGCTTCCCAGTATAGTATAAATACTATCACTCTATAAAAGCCAATTGACAGTAATGTTTCCAAGCCATGCAAACAGAGGGATCTGAGCCAAAGCGATAAAGAGCAAGAGGTAGTGGTGTCTGCTTTAATCATAACTCTTGACCCCTTTTTCAGTAAACATTTCAAACATAAGAATTTCACTTTCCTCCCACAAAATAATAAGTAATGAACTAAATATTATCCTAAGGATATAAAAACACACAAATATTATAATTATATGTATAATAAGCATTCTCCTTCGTCTCCTCTTTCATTATCTTTATTCCTTAAATTTTCAATATCTCACATTAGAGAACATCGCACTTGTTTGCAACAGCCATAAGCACAATGGAATGTTCTCATATTTGGGAATTAGGTTTTTGACTATTCTTTGTGTGTGCAATAACTCAAAACACAATAGTTCAATGGACCTTCATATTCCATAATTATAGTCCTATTATTCATTTGATTTTATGATTGTTACTTTCAAGGGTTAAATGTTTGTCCTTTTAAAGGACACAAATTGTGTCCTTTTAGTTTTTAACACCATGTCTTACCTGTAAGACATAGTTATAATATGAAAAGTTAATTTTTTCTCTCTCCACGTCAGCTGAAGTGACTGAGGAAATAGAAAAAAAAGAAGAAGCAATTTTTCATATTATAACTATGTTTTACCGGTAAAATATAGCGTCAAAAAGGATACAACCTTGTGTCCTTTAAAAGGACAAACCTTTTTTCCTACTTTTAATTGGGTTTATTTGGTTTAGTTGGGTCTAAATTTTGAAATAGGTCAATTAATCATTTTTGTGATTAAGTTTAGAATAAATAGGAGTAAGAATAATAGGAGTAAGAATAAATAACATAACTGATTAGAATAAAGCAGGAAAAAAACAAATATACAGGATAAAAAATAAAAAAGGTAAAACACAAAAATAACTATACTATACGTGTTCCTTATTATTTGTTTGCATTTAGATGGTTTGTTGTTACTTTGTATTGAGTATTTGATTTTCTATTTAGGTGATGCAAAATTATAATTTTTACCTTAGTTAATTATAATAATTATATAATAAGTAAAAAAAAAAAGCAGGTGCCAACGCACCTGCTGGCTTGGAAGTGGCTACGCCACTGTATAACAGCCTATTCCCGACCATCACACTTTTATTTGGACTTTACATTAGGCTTGGCAAAAATGAGCCAATCCATCGGGTTAGCTTGTAATCCGGCTAAAATAAGTCGGATTGGGTTAGGAAATAATGAGTTAGTAACTCGAGTCAGCCCGACTCGTTTCAGCTCGAAAAAATCGAGCCAACCCACAGGTCAAACGGGTTTGGCTCACGGGTTATGGTTTTTTTTAATATAAAAGTATAAAAATTAATGAAGGTAAAGTGGAAAGCTAAAACCTAAAATCCCAATTCCATAAACCCAAACGAAAATACCCTACAGCTGCCAATAAGTCCAAAACCCTGCATTAAGGATCTTTTTTATAGTATGTGTGACAGTGTGAATGTGGTGCCAACTGCCAATAAGTTCAAGTCCAAATGCAAAAGATATTTTCTATGGTTTATCTATATAATGTATGTATTGAATGAATTAATAATTTAGAAAAAAAAATTAGAAGTTATAGCATCAATGAATTTTTTTTTACATTTTTTCAAGTCAATCCGCGAGCCAACCCTAACCCGACTTGGGTCGGGTTGGGTTGAGTTTTCTAGCTCGTTTACTTTTCGAGCCAACCCTAACTCGTCTCATTTTTTTCGGATTGAACGAGGGTTAGGTCGGGTTGAGCCGGGTTGGCCTATTTTGCCAACCCTACTTTACATACATATAGTGGCGGAGCCAAACTCTAATTTTTTTTTAATTTTATTTAATTCATATTATAATATATTTAAATTATATTAAATTTAGAGCACCTGAGCAGACACTGTTAAGAAGAGTTATAATTTTCTTAAATATTTTTTAATTTTACTGAAAATAATTTTTTATATATATATAAATGAAAATTGAACACATAACCTAATACAACTTACCCAAATCTTTCATCAAAAATATTTTAAGTTTTAGATAGGGCTAAATTACAAATTGTAACCCGGGCCAAATTACAATTTTAATCCATGCCAAATTATAATTAATTTTATATTTATATATATTAAGTACAATTTGTTAAAATTTTAGCCCGGATCGATGTCAGACCTAGACTATACGTGGCTCTGCCGCTGCACTCATAGCTTTTATAAATATATAAATGGCTAAACCTCTCATGTACATATTCTGAATTCACTGTTCTTTTATTTATTACTATGCACACACCCTACACCTTTGGCTATATGCCAATATTATTATTATGCACATGAATTCGTTACCTCTTGCGGTGTCTCTTTTATAAACTCCCGCGAGCGTACTGATCCAAGATACAAATATCAACCTTCGGTTGGATATTCCGATCCTCAAAGATTGAACAATTTTTTTTCTTACAAAAAGAGAAGTTTGTAATCTTACTCAATTTTATTCATGAAGTTTGTCTATTGAGTAAATTTTAGTAAATAAAGTAAAACAAACTAAAAGCATTTTATCAACGGAAACAAAAAATCTCAATCTTAAAGATTGTTTAAACACACTCCATGATGTTAACGAATATTTGTACTCAAATTTAAGCTTAATTTAAATTCAAATTACACATTTTCAACTTATATTCAAGATTTCGTTGAGCTTTCAAAATGTCTCAAGTTATTTTTTCTGTTTTAAGGAAAATTAATAGAGATTAATATTTCACCTGCCACAAAAATATGGTGTTTTGGGAAAAAATGTAAGATGATTTAGTATAATACATATATATATATATATATATATATATATATATATATATATGTATGTATATATATACATACACACACACATATATATATATATACCGGGATAAGATCTTTTGTCATTGGCGTCAAATTTAAAGTTTGACACATCATCTGAGAGCCGTTAGATCAAAAAAGATCATTGAAAATCACGACGACTGTAACAACTTGTTGTACACCGGTATTGTTAACATTAATTATGATATTAAGCGCAGTTACAATCACAGCAATTCATTTATAAAAATACGAGCAAATTTTTTCTGTTTATTACGTAAGCATTTAAAACAATAAAAAGCGTAATAAATAAAAGCTGTGCTGTAAAATCTTTGCGGAATAATTATTTAAACTACTTTTATAATTTATTTTACATCTCTCAAGCCACCAAGGGGTTTCCATAAACCCACTTAGTCAAAATCTCACTTTTACATTTTCTACCTATCCGAACATGGTTATCTCTTTAATTTTCTGCGTACAAACCGCATATAAAAAGTCTCCCATATTTTAGTATGTTATTCTAGACTTAATTACCTTTCTAGAAAGCTATCACACGAGTCATAAAGTTCTCGTTTGCTCCGGATATCGCCGTTTGAATTTTGACAAGCAAATCTGCCAGCCAACCCCAAAACAGCTCCAAACATCCTTCACTCAA